GTGAAGATGAATCTTCTACTGAGGAATCCAGCAGCAGTGAGAATGATAAAGCACCTGCTAAAAAAAATACAAAAGCTAAGAAAGTGGATTCAGACACTAGTGGCAGCAGTAGTAGCAGCAGCAGCAGTGATGACTCCAGTGATAGTAGCGGCGGTAGTTCTAGTGATGAGTCAAGTGACAGTTCAAGTGGAAGTTCAAGTGATGAAGACTCGGGTGAAGAATCAAGCAAAGAAAAAAGATCCACAATAAAACCTCTTCAGTATAGGGACCAATCCAAAGAAAGAGAGACTGTTACAAGGAACAATAAAAGACAAATGTCAAGTGATTCAGAAAATGAATATGATAACAGAGTGTCTCAACCAGCAAAAGTTTATAGAAGCTATCATGAGGAACCACAATATAATATAGTGGATCCGTGGGAACGAGGTAGAAGAGATAGGACAAGAGAAAGTGAGGTAATCAGGGGAAGGTATGAAGAGTACTACAATGAAAGAGACAACTCTAGGCTACTTGATTATAGGGATTATGACAGAAGGAAAGACGCTAGGTATGATGAACGTGAATATGATAGACAGCGATATGAAGATTACTATGATGATAGATATCGGGATACAAGAAGAAGAGATGTGTATGCTGATAGACGAAGGGAAAGGGGAGGGGGTTACTATGATAGAAGGTAGATGTGGGGAATTTTTTATATGGTAGGATAGTATACAATTCTGTGATCCTGGTTTTCACTGAATTTCAAATTCTCCACCACCCGCCTATCACGAGTTAAACTCACTTTGGAGTTACAATCAGACTGCTGTCTATGCTTATGATGAAGTAAATGCTGTACATTCCTAAACACCCCCCAAAGGTATATTGTATTAGACAAAAAGTCCCCACTCTAAGTTTTACTTAATTTTATAGTGTTGCAAATATGTTGTCAGTCAGTGTTCCTTGGTCTGAATTACAAATGTCTGAAATGTATCAAATATTTTTAAAGCAGTAAGTGTATGTGAACTGTATTGTAAAGAGTAGGACTTTGCAACACTTATCAACAAAGCTACTGTAATATGCACGACTATCATCTTTCTCGATGTATATATATATTGAAAACACAAGATACACGAACTAGCACAATATCGTAAAAGACGTGAAGTGAAACTTGAGGGGAGGCTTTTGTCCTCGTGTATATACATAATCTTTTCAATACGTCTACATTTTTTGTTTCAACGTAATGCTTTATATTTTGGTGCATGCCAACATTTCTTCATTGTAATATAAGCTGGCCTTTACATAAGCATTATTTTTTGAGTGGTCAGTGTTCAATCACCTACTAGTCAAAGCTTATTTCTTGATAATATTTTGGTGAGAGCTATTGGAATGTATTGTTAAAAGTTCATATTTCTGAGTCTACTTATTAATCTGATGTATGTATTAGGCATTTTATAATTGTACTTTCACCACTTATTTGCTCCCCCCCCCCCCCCAACTTCAGTTATGTGTGTATTACTACAGATAACACTATCTGATCAGGTTATTTTACCTTTATAATGAACCTTGCAGCAGAGCTAAATATTGAATATTTATGGAGGTAGTATCAAAACAGAAACATTCAACTTGCCATATTCTAAATACAGTCAATTTATTCACTGGTAACACTCCTTTACTGGGAGTTTGTGATTGGCTTGCCATTTGTAGTATGAAAACCATACAAATTTATTTAAGGGAAGAATATATTGTAGAGGAAGGTGTTGTAGTAGCAAAATGCGTATAACTGAAGTTGAACTTTACTTCAATTTTCATGTCCAAAAACACATACTTTATGATAAACTACACGCAGCTAAATAATGTAGAGATATAGAATGTGATTGCAAAGTTACTTCATTGAAGTTT